AGAAAGAAAGAGAGAAAGAAAGAAAGAGAGAAAGAAAGAAAGAGAGAAAGAAAGAGAGAAAGAAAGAAAGAAAGAAAGTGCCATTTCAGTGTACATAAGGTAATGCATATCAGTTTTCCCAATCCCTTTTTATGTCAGAGCATATGTTTAAAATACTAATACTCAGAAAAGCTCATTGGGCTAAACAGATGTCTGTTTTCGACTAGGTGCACTAGTCACAGGCATAGTAGCTGGGAGAGGCCAGGGCCATGTTCTTGGAGATGCTAAGGGGATTAATATATTAAAACACTCATTAAGTCCTTATGGGTATGAGAGGTCCACAGGATCCTCATAATGTCATAAAACAGAAACAACCCAAATATGTCAGTAGGGAAAAGAACGTCGGGGTTGCATAATTCATGCAACAGAATTTCATATAATAAAATATTATAGTAATATGTTGGATAATTGACAAAATAGCATTCCACAGTTGAAGTGCATGACCTAGGCAGGTATGGTGGTGCATTCCTATAATCTCAGTGACATGAGAATTAGAGATAAGAAGATCATGATTTGAAGCTAGCCCAGGCAAAAGTTGGCTCTATAACAACCAACAGGAAAGGTGTGGTACATGCTAGCTATGAGAGACGCTCCGATCTAGGCTGGCTCTAGCCAAAAAACATGAGAGAGACTTTATCTGAAAAACAAAGCAGCTGAGTTCAAGTGGTTCATGCCTCAAATTGTAGCTACTCAGGAGATCGGAGGATTGAGGTACAAAAGCCAGCATAGATAGATAAGTCCTTGAAACCCATATGTCTAATTAACCCCCCAAAATAAAAAAAATAGAGGTGTGGCCCAAGTGGTAGAACACCTGCCTTGAGCACAACTCTAAGGAAAGTGCAAGGCCCTGAGTTGAAACCCCAATAACAGTACCCATAAAAAATTTAGTGTGTATTGGTTACAGATAAAAACATATGTAGACACAGAAAAACAGAAGAAAACATACCAGATTACAAATAGTCCTTGTTGGGGGAAAAACAAGTAAAGGTACATAAGGGGGAAAAAGGACTTTAGCTGTAAATTTTTGTTTCAAAAATAAGAATCTGAGGACCTGAAGGAAATAAAGTTTGCTCAATCTGTGTGGCAGATGCATTCAAATGTGTGTTTTATACTCTGTATGTTTGTACATGTTTGAAATATTTAAAATACTTTCATAAAAGAAAATGTGTCCCATTGAGTAGAAAAATGCATATATATTAGACCGATATTAATTGTGTCATTCCACCTCCCTAGATCCTTACATATTCTGCAGTCTATTTGGTCTATCTATAGCCATAGAAAGTGTCTTTTACTATAATAATAGACTTTCTGATAGCTGTATATTTCTAAAAGTATTTCACACATTATGATAGGAAACTCGTTGTTTGGCACACATATTTTTGTGATCCTATCTTTTTTAGTGGATGAAACAAGTTGTTTTGTTTCTGATGTTTTCTGATACTTCTTGACTTTTAAACAGCATGGCTACAAGTGTATGTCAGTCGTAGTATTATTCCATTATCTGTAAACGCAAGCTTTGGTACTGGGAATTCAGGGTTTGGGTGCTGTAGCTGAGTTTTTGCCACGCAGGGCTGGTGCTGTAACAGTTGTGCCACAACCTCATTTCTGGCATTTTTTTGGGGGGGAAGGGGGAGGATAAATTGGCGGTAGGACTCTCATAGGAGTTTCTTGCCCAGAATGGCTTGGAACTCAGATCCTCTTGAGTAGCTAGCATTACAAGCTACAATTCATAGAATTTTAACTTGTGTGACATTTAGTAAGTATTTTTTGGATGGAAAAGTCATCAACAGCAACAAATTTCAGAACAAACAGCTTCAATTTGCTTTAACCATCAGGTTAAATTTTTTAAGCTTATTGCTCCCCTAAATATAGTTTTGCAATTTTCATACCCCCAAATTATAACATGGAAATAGGGTGTGCTACAGTAATACCATTATTCTCACATTGCAATTAATTAGAAAGAATTTGAACATTTCATTTAAGCAGATGAAAAAGCCAGAAAAAACTGAAGGAAATATGGCTCAATGTGAATCATTTATCTACGCTGTTTTTTGTTGTTGTTGTTTTTCACTGTCCTGTTTCGTATATTGGCAGATTTCAGCACACAAAATGAGATGCTTTCAGGTCCCCCTGATTGGTGGTTCGTAGCTGCCTTCCCTTCCCCGTTCTCTTCCGCCCACGCGCTCCATGCCCCCTGCGGCTCCGCGCCTCCTCGCCCCCCCCGCAGCCCCCCCCCAACCCTGCACATCAGGGGGCGTGGCTGTGGCTGGCGTCACAATCACTTCCGCCGTCGCAGTCTCCGCCTGCCGGGTTGCTATCTGGCGGAGGAGGAGCCGGAGTCCGGAGCTGAGGTACTGGCGCTGTGGCGGTCGGAGGTGTCGGAGGTCCCGGAGGTCCCCGGAGGTCCCGGAGGCCCCGGAGCTGTGCTTGTCCGTCGAGCGTGTGGCTGTCCAGAATAGGTAAGAGAAGGTTTGCCCCCTATTCAGCCGGGTGCCGGCTGTGGGAGGGTGGTCGAGCAGTGGGGCGAGGATTCGGAGTGAGGGGAAGGAGGAGAGCCCACGGACCTCTTCTTGGGTTTTCCTCTTGGGAAGGGGGTGGGACGGATAGAGACCTGACTACAGAGTGCATAGGCCCTTCTTCCCAAAGGACCTTTTGGGGCACTAGCCCCGGTTTTGTGTAGCCCCTTCCCTACGCTTGTGGCCCCTGACTGAGTAGAGAGGTGGTCGCGGCCCGTCGCCCCTTCCGCGCTTTTCCTCCCTCTGCGGCCCCCTTGAGGAAAGCTCCGCGGCCTTTCTTCCCCCATCTTGGACGCGTTTTGCCGACCGAGAAATGGTTAAGATATTCCGGTATAAATATTTGTCCCCAGGAAAAGAATTTCTGAGGTAAAAACAAAATTAGCCTCACATAAAAAACTATGTTCACATATACCATTTATTTTTTTACCTCCTTGTTCATGTCACCTCAATTTGGTTTGCCCATTAAGCTGGTAATGATGCCCCCCCCTTATTATGACACTGCATCCCCCTCTCATGTGTGGGGCCCGGGCGCGTGCACTACCGCTTACGCGAACACTCCCCCCCCCCCCCACTGAAACCTGATGAAGCAGCCTCGTCCCTATCCCTCCATCTCCAACGTTCCAGCGAGTCCCCTTTCCCACGCATGCGCACATGGGCACGCGGGTAGTCTATCACGCACCCCCTATTGCTTTGCCCCCGGTGCACTGGGCCTATTTCATACCTCTAGAACCTTCTACCCTCCCTCCTTTGCTTTCTCTAGCACACACAAAAACATGCGCGCACAAGCACGCACACATATATTCACACCCCTACAGGCGTACCCCTCAGGGTCACCCTCTAGCCTGCCACATCCCCACATATTCTTCTATTGCAGACCTCTGACGTACGCATACATACATTACACCCTGGTTGCTCTTCTCATCCACACCCCATCAGAGCATATACACTTCTCCCTTACTAGTTGATGACTTCTGTGTGATTTCTACTTCCAAATAGAAATCCTTCTCGGGCTACCTCCTTCCTGCTTGTTGTATTCAAATGTGCAGATGGCCTGTTACGCTGGCCGCACACACCCCTTTTCATTGCAGCTCTCCCACCATTGATACCGGCTGCAGTTTCTCCATTGTCACCTCCCGTTTTGACAAACACAAAAGCACATATACACACACTGACACCCCTCTGTCACTATACTCTTCCTTTTCCCTGCCTGTGATACACACAAATATTTGCTTTTATCCAGGGTTCCAGCTACTACACATACAGCCACGCGCACACACACACACACTCCTTGTTTCTCACACATTTACCCACAACCCTCTCTGAAGCTGCCCCGCCCACACCTGACATTTGCATACCACATCCAGAAGGGGTCTTACTCTAACACCCTCTTTTCTACAAATACAGGCTTCCTTCCATTGCAGTTTTACTGGTCCCTTCCATCTGTCCTCCTTCCAACAGACACGTAGGTGCTCATTTACACATAGTGATCTATATTTTCGACTCAATTCCAATTTGCATTTCTCCTGTGTCTGCAGTGCTCACCAGAAAGAACTCCAGGAAACACGCCATAAAAACCTACAGCAGCCAGGCACCAGTGGAGGCTGAGATCTGACTACTCTAATACAAAGCCAGCCTGGGGAAAAGAGACTTCGACACCTTTTGTCTCCAATCAAACACCAAAAAACCAAAGTACAGGTATGGCTCAATGATAGAGCGCCAGCCTTGAGTAAAAAAGCCCCAAGTTCAAGCCCCAGAACCAGCACAGAAACAACAACCCCCCAAACCTCAGCAGTGTTCCTTCCGCCCACGTTAGCACAATTCTAAGTGTCCACTCACTCTTTCTTCTGTCACATTGCCCCCAGAATTTAGCTTTCCTGCAGGCCCAATCTTTGTAATCATTTTGCCTACATTAGCATCTATTCCAAGTCTACACCTCATGGAGTACTATTTGCTTTCTTAGAAGAAATCACGACTAATTTTAAAGGCCTCTTTGTCTTCTATTATCTGCTTGCTAAAGTAAAAGTTTATCTCCCTGTTCTTTATTTTGAACTGATTTTTTCCAGCTTAGAATCATGGGCAGGAAAGGAGAGAGCCTTCCCAGAGTGCAACCTAGTTATATCAAAACCCCTCCTAAATCAGAGCTTTGGATCAGGAATCTAGCAAGCCTATACAACCCCAAACAGCAGGAGAGTATCAATCCAATGCAGGCAGAAGGTATGAAAGAAGGTGTGCTTATTTCATTTACAGGCCATCTAGGAGCCAGCAAGGGAGGATTGCCACCCAGAGAAACACAACATCCAAAGTACCAATGCATAGATCAACCCCCAGTCAATCCAAGAGGAGCCGATCACCATTTTCTGCCAGTCGTCGTCGTCGTTGGGATGACCGAGAAGGCTCTGGAAGCAGCTTGACTGTTGAAAATGAGGACTATTCCAGGTATCTGCCCAGAGAGTTCAGGGCTTCCGTTAGTCGACGAGGAATGGCTTATGGACATATTGATACTTTTGGGGTAGACGATAGTGAGGAGGAGGGGGCTGGGCCTGTGGAACGTCTGCCAGTACGAGGGAAAACTGGCAAGCTTAAGGATGACAAAGTGTATGACCATGAGAAAGGGGCCAGGTCTAATGTGATGGGGGCACATGCCCATTTCTCTAGTTATAACCGTAATGGGAGAGAGGAACGTGACCCAGCCCCTTCTGGGAGGTACTCTGCTGGCAGAGCAGAGTATCAAAAGCAAAATGGTGCAACCTCTTACATATCTTCTGCTGAAGGCAAGGGGGCTAAAAAAGGTGACAACTTGGAGAGGGAGAGGCGAGGTCAGAGTTTACCTGTGCATCCTGGCAGGGCTCCTGTGAGTCTGTGTGGTGGTGGGAAAAACACCTCCAAGAGTGCCGAGGAACCTGTGGTGAGGCCTAAAGTCCGCAATGTGGCACCACCAAGCGTGAAACCAAAAGTATTTTTTGATACCGATGATGATGATGATATGCCACATAGTACTTCCAGGTGGATGGATGCTGCCAAGAAGGATGAAAGCTATCCCAATGGCATGGCAAGAAGAGGCCGAGGTGAAAGTTCCAGCAGCTACTCTGAACCAAAATACCCTGAAGACAAGAGAGAAGGGAGGATCACTGGCCAAGGGAAGCGAGAGAAGGGACCCAGACGCCGTCGAACCATGGCTGACTCTAACTTCTATATGTACAATGATTACCACAGATACATGGATGAAGATTCAGACAGTGAGAAAGAGTGGATCGCCACTCTGCGCTGCAGGTATCGAAATCGAGAGCTGCCCCCGTCCCCCAGTGGAGAGAGCTGGGAGACACTGACAGGAAAGGAAGAGCAGGAGCCTCCACAAGCTTCCGTAAATGTGAGTGCTGCCAGTAGCAGCAGCCCTGACCCCGAGGATGGGGCTTGTGCCATGGCTGGTGCCAGTGCTGGTGCCAGTGCTGGTGCCAGTGCTAGTGCTAGTGCCAGCACCAGTGACAGCACCAGTGCCAGCACTGGTGCCAGCACCAATGGCAATAGTTATATTGAGGATGTTCAAGAACCATCTCTTAGAAGAGAGGAGCAGGCACCTCGGGGAGCAGCAGAGATCCCTTGGCTTCGATACAGTGAGAATGAGAGTAGCAGTGAGGGTGATAACAATTCCCGTCCCCCCTTGATTCAGCCTGGGACATTTGTGCTGGATGGGAACAACAACCTTGAAGATGATTCCAGTGTGAGTGAAGACCTAGAAGTGGATTGGAGCCTGTTTGATGGATTTGCAGATGGGTTAGGAGTGGCTGAAGCCATTTCCTATGTGGATCCTCAATTCCTCACCTACATGGCTCTGGAAGAGCGCCTGGCTCAGGCTATGGAGACCGCCCTCGCACACTTGGAGTCCCTAGCCGTGGATGTGGAGGTGGCCAACCCACCAGCCAACAAGGAGAGCATTGATACTCTCCCTGAGATCTTGGTCACAGAAGATCAGGATGCAGTAGGTCAGGAAATGTGCTGTCCTATCTGTTGCAGTGAATATGTGAAGGGGGAGGTGGCAACTGAGCTGCCATGCCACCACTACTTCCACAAGCCATGTGTCTCCATCTGGCTTCAGAAGTCCGGGACCTGTCCCGTGTGCCGCTGCATGTTTCCACCTGCTCTCTAAATGCCAAGGTTTAATCCCACCCTAATTCTTCTCCCTATCTGAAACCTTTAAGTGCAGGAGCTCTCTCAAAATAAACAACGCAAATGAAGCTGTTGATTCTGATCATTTTCAATGTAGAAATGGTTGCGTTGGGTTGCGTTCAAATTCATGGTGTCTTTAGGGGTTAGAAGGAAACTAAACTTTCTAAATGCTACTTGAGATCGCTGTAAGAGCATAAATTTTCTAATCTGAGAGCTAAAATAAATTGCCTTTGTTTTCTTGAATAGACTGTGTTGTTAATTGTAATGTCAAGTTTATCTGTTAAATATGTTCAAAAGGCAAAAGCATTTTTGTTGCATGTTTTGGCCTAATGTTCCTGTAATCGCAGTGTCTGCCATTAAAGCTTATTAAAGTTCTTTGGTTTTTCCATGGTAAACAGAATTGTTTGGTTTTCTCTGAAATGGTGATGCCAAGACTGGAAATACTAGCACCAAAACCAGAATTTTTTTTTTAAAAGAGTAAGAATAAGATGTGTCTATTACAAGAGAAAGATTAGGTACAGAAAGAAACCAAGAGAAAACATGATTAAAATATAGAACAATTGTAAAGTCCAAACTGAGTGCAAGAATTGAAAGACTTAAAATCACTTGAGAAAATAGAAGTTCTTGGAATTGGTAAAAAAAAAAAAAATAAAGGTATATGTCATCTATATAGTTTAAAACAATAACAGCCAGTGCTAGTTGCCCAGGAGGCTGACATCTGAAGACTGATTCAAATCCAGCTTAAACAGAAAATAATCTGTGAGACTCTTCAAGTAACCACCAAAAATTGGAAGTGAAGGTGTGGCTCACAAGCGGTAGAGTGCCACCCTTGAGCAAAATAGCCAAGTAAAAGTGTGAGGCCCTGAGTTCAAGTCTCAGTACTGGCTGGCAGGCAGGCAGGTATACACACATACCTCAATGGTCAGTGGCTGCTGGAAATAGAAGTTCCCATTCACACAGTGAACAGGCAAAACATTTGTCCATATTTGCTCCACCTCTCTGTCAATCTCTTGTCTGTCATAAATTAAAAAATTGCACAGCTGATGTTCCTCGCTACCATATTTACCTACACAGAGGTAAACACTACCCAGAAAATGGTGGATTTACTTCTTGTCTGTGTTTAGATGATATGCATGTGTTTATGTACATGGATATATGTCCATAACCAATGAAGTATTTTTTGTGCTGATATTTGGCCTTGAACATGGGGTCAGGGTGATCTCCCTTACAATTTTCACTTAAGGCTGGCATTCTCCCACTTAAGCCACATCTCCACTTGTGGTTTTTTGCTTCTTAATTGGAAATAGGAGTGTCAGATCTGTCTGCCTAGGCTGGATTCTAACTATGATCCTCAGATCCCAGCCTCCTGAGTAGCTAGAAGTATGAGTCACTAGCACCAAGCAGGTAAAGCATGTTAATATAAATAAAGCCATATGAAAACAAAGCATATATAAGAATGCATAAAATATCTGAAAGACTACATCCTTAACTAATGGCATTTGATATCTCAGGAGAGATGGAGAATTGGATCGAGTGAAGAATTTTTTGCCTGAAAAAAAGGCATTTGATTTTTTTTGTTTATTTTTTACCGTGATTGTATTTTCATGAATATTAACTAGGAGCCAGTCTGAAGACAAAAATGAAAAAATTGCTCAGAAAAAGTATTACTTTCCCACTGTAAACACACAAATGTATAGAAACCACCATCATTTTACCTGAACTGTGTCTAAATAAATACTATGAGTTCATTCCTCACCAGCTGTTCAGTATTCCTCCACAGCCTTCTGCCCACACCTCAACAGGGCATGGAGTGATTGTAGGGTCCTTTTGGGTGGGTTACAATGGTTTGCTACAAACTTTTTTGTTCTTTCACTGGCATTTTAGTAGGAAGTATTTTAAGAGCACACTAGGATCCCAATCATCTTTCTTCCTGCTCCCACAGCATAGCATCAATCCTAATTTTCAGTCAAAATGAGTTGGTGCAGGAGAGGCCTCTACAGGTGTTAAGAGTAACCTGCCAGTGCAGTCTCAGAGGAGGTGAGACTCTGAGACCACATGGTCCTGGTACCCTGAGCAGCTGCACATGGACCTTGCACCCCAGCTATACAGAGCCCATCAGTCACCTTTGCTCACAGTTAAGCCTACTAGACACTTGTGCCAGTCCTTCACATCTGGAGGAGTGAAGTATAAAGAGCAAGTGTTTTAAAGCATTTGCTCACTCTAGGCACTGCTCATCCTGTAATTACAGGCAGATGCCTGTATTACTAGCTACTCAAATTCAAAGCCAGCCAGGGCAGAGTCTGTGAGACTCATCTCCAGTTGACCAGCAAAACATCCTGAAGTGAGCTGTAGGTCAAGTGGTAGAGCAACCTTGACTAAGAAAACTAAGTGCCAAAGTCCTAAATTTAAGCCCTAGTACCTATGGATATGGGTGTGGGTGTGGGTGCATGCATGTGCACAAATGAACAAAATCCTGAATGGCCAATAGTTAAAACAATAGTTACTTAAAATGCAGTGGGCCCATAGTCAGCACCTAGACATCATATTTTGAGCATCCATATTTTGAGCAAGATATTTGGTGTATTCATTGTTTACATTGTGTTTCTGGCCTAATTTCTGGCTGTGGAATAAATAGTCTCAAGTTTTGGCCCCTAATTTGAACTGTAGAACACTATATGCCCTGGTGTTGATGGCTTATACCTGTAATCCTAGCTTCTCAGGGTCTGAGATCTGTGAATTGACATTTAAAACTAGCCCAGGCAGAAAAGTCCTTGAGACTTCAATTGACTAGCAAAAAGCTAGAAGTGAAGCTGTGGCTCAAGTGGTTGAATACCAGCCTGTAGTAAACAAGCTTAAGTCAGAGTGCAAAGCCTGAATTCAAATCACAGTGTTACAAGCACATGTCCCCCCATACACACACACACACACACACACACACACACACATACACCACCACCACCACCACCACCATATGCTTCACAGAGCACCCTAATTTCCTGAGGTGGTCCAACTAGCATCATGGTGAACCCTCACAAGGTCCTTCATGTGCTCTAAGGACCTGCCCTGCTCTTAGCCCTCTGTTTCAGTGATCTGCTTCCACATACATGCGTAGGGGCCTCTGTCCTGAAGTGTCCTTCCCAGCCCTATCTCAATTCTATTCAGCCTTTCAAAAGCACGTGTGCTACTTCCTAAAGAAACCCATCCTTTTAACTCCTAGCTCCTTTCCTCTCCAATCTCTCATCTTTGTAAGTCCTTGAGGTCAACAGCTATGATAAAGTCATTTCTACAGTCCTTGGCATGCTGTGCTTGACAGAAGTGTTCATTGATAGTTGCTAGTAGGGTGACTAGATTCTTCTCCCCAAACAGGGAAGACCAGGGCAGCAAGAACCCAATAAGAATTATAGTGTTCTAGTCCAATCAGGCCACTTGAATCCAGTGTTAGCTCTATTACCCCAACCTCTGAAGGTCCCTATACACCTCTACATGAATGCTATTTTCTTGAACCCCTCCCCATGGGCCTCTTTAGGGCTATTCTCAGGCTCAGGGCCTGTGAAGACAAAGTGGGGTTATCTGAAGGTAGATAAGGCCTGGACAGAGACTCTGTCTCACACAGCAGAGATATGGTGCTTTGCCCACCTGGTCCCAGCCTTTAGCCAACTGAACTCTGGGGTTCTTTCTGCCCATCATTGGCATTCATATTTTCACAGTGGTACTTTGTGACCACTGTATACTTTACATATTCCTGTTTCCTGGTTCTGAATTCCACTATCCTAGGAAGTGCCTACCCAGGTCCCTTCCATTCAGTGATTCCCCTAGCTTCTCCCATTGATCCCAGAAAGGGAATGACAAGGAGATCAGGCTCCAAATGGTGGTAGCATTCTGCAGCAGCAGAAATGTCTGCTTTGGTGGTAAAGGGGAGAGGAATTCTTTCTTCCCATCAACCCCTGTCCCAGAGGAACAGGATAAGGGATAGGATCTGGATGTCAGAAAAACGTGAACTTCAGCCAGGTGTTAGTGGCTCATACCTGTAATCAGCCGCCCAGGAGACTAAGATGTGAGAACAATGGTTTGAAGTCAACCTGAGCAGAAAAGTCCATAAGATTCTTATCTTTAATTAGCCAGCAAAAAGCCAAAAGTTTAGTTGTAGCTCAAGTAATAGAGTACCAGCCTTGAGTGAAAAAGCTAGGGTTAGCACCTAGGTCCTGAGTTCAAGCCCCAGGACTGATGTGCATGTGGGGGGGGGGGAGTTTGGGGGGTGAGTGTGCATGCGCATACATGCACACACACAAGAAAAACCCCAAACTGGCTCCAACAAGATTCAGCTCATGTGATCACAAATGCCACATGTTGCCCAGATGACAGGGGCACAGTACAATAGCAGCCAGAGGAAGAGAAGAAATGACAGGGTTGGAGGTGTAGCTCAAGTGGTAAAGTGCCTCCATGGCAAGCACAAAGCCCTGAGTTCAAACGCCAATACCACCATGAAAAAAAATGACATCGCCAGGCGCTGGTGGCTAACGCCTGTAGTCCTAGCTACTCAGGAGGCTGAGATCTGAGGATCACGGTTCAAAACCAGCCCGGGCAGGAAAGTTCGTGAGACTCACCTCCTAATTAACCATCAGAAAACCGGAAGTGGCACTGTGGCTCAAGTGGGGGACAGTGCCTAAGCCCAGAGTTCAAGCCCCACGACCAACAACAACAGCAAAAAAATTGACACAGATGCATGGAAGGACTCTTCCTCAGGACTAGGAGATACTGCATGTTCAGTCAGAGGCATGTGGCTGTCACAAGTTTGGAAGCCTGCCTGAAGGCAAGTGAGGACTGGGGTACAAGCACATAGGCCAATGATCAGGAATCCAGAAGAAAGCCCAAGGCACTGCTCAGTCAAGACTGTGTTTCCCTTCAACAAACAAGCTGTGTAGTCATAGCTGACTTGTTTTACAAATATGTATTGAGTTTCTGCCATCAGGATTTTCAACCAGAGCCTTCAAGAGGTTAATAAAAATGCTCCATCTCTTTTCAAATAGCTCAGAATCTGGGACTGAAGGTGTGGCTCAAGTGGTAGAATGCCTATCTAGCAAACCCAAGGCTCTGAGTTCAAACCCCAGCACTGACAAAAGAGAAAAACTCATAGTCTAGTCTGGTGTGTGAGACAGACTTGTAGAGATGGTTAATAGGTTCTGGGAAATTGGAGGCAAATACAGGATAAGCTAGGAGCAAAGGACCTGGCTGACAGAGCTGAGAAATGGGGAGAGGGATTGTTTCTAGTTCACAAAGATATCTAAAGTGAAAGTAAACAGCAGCCACCCAAAAAAGGAACAGAGAATGCAGGATTGGTCTTTTCCATTCTGGTGGTGGTATTAATTCCATTTGTTTGAAAGGCCTCTTAGGGAAA